TATATATATATAATATTCAAAAATGCAGCGATTCTCGCCACCTTAACAAACACATTATGTACTTCGCTCTCGTATCCTTCCAAACGCAAACACGTACCGTGCGACATGAATAATAATAAATAATTAAAAAATGATGCGTAGAAAAAAAAAAAAGAAACGGGGACTCATCGATGAACGTCCCCGGCGACCGCGTCGAGTATCCTCTGCAAGCTCTGCGCGTCGAATCCGAAAAACTCCCGCTCCCGGGGCGGCTTGTCCCTGTCTAGGGAGCGTTTCCTGCGCTTCGCCAAAAAATCGTCCTCCTCGTCGCTTATCATCGGATTGACCTTGGCGTAGTAGAGCGCAGCGAAGCCGCTGTAGATCAACAGTGCCGCGGTCGCCAGCTGAAACGATTCAACGCCCGTTGTCATCCATCGCCAACTTATAGTGGGTGTAATATATAATTATGTACGTGACGTACTTGAAAAACGGCCCAAAACTTGTAGCTGCCCTCGTTGATTAGAAAATCGTAGTAGCCGCCCCAGTAATCGACCTTCGGCTCGACCATGGCCTTGGTGTCTCGGTAGTCGTGGTCGTCCGGCAGGACCGCCTCCTCGTCCTGGTACAACACCTCGTGATCGTCGTGAGCAGCTCGAGCGGATTCGGATGCCCCGTCTTCCACATGCCGCCATCTCGCTTGCCTGCGGATTATTTTTATTGGTCACCCACTCTTTGGTTCACTCAACAGCAACAAGTAGAAAGAAAAAAAAAAAAAAAAAAAGAAAAAAAACAGTGGGCAATTTCACCTATACGACTCGTCCGTAGTCGTGAGAGTCCTAACGTCGTAGTCACTGAACGCGCTCTCGCCGAGTCTCACCCCTGTCGTCCACACAACAATCCAGCACCAAAGTGTCTTTTCCATCGTCCGATGTTTAGCAATGTTTTATACCCACGAGTGAACAACAACAACAACAACAACAACGGCCGTCGATCTGTGGCGCTTCTCGGCTCATCGATCCGAGGGTGCCGATGATGGTTTTCCGAAAGATCGGCGGGAGTCGCGGCCCATTGGAATATCGTTAAATCGAGGAGCGCTATGAGACTGACGGTAGTTTAGCGACTGACGGCTCATCCGCGTTTCGTAACTGTATACCGGGGGCCCATGGAACGTTATGCAAACGGGCTACCGAGCGCTAAACGGTCCTAATTGTTGTTACCGATCTCCGCGAGCGCTCTGATTTTTTTTTTTTTCTTTCTTTTTTTTCCGTCTTCTTTTTTCCCTCGCACCCGCGCGAACAAACATCGATGGAATTTCTCGGTGTGCAGGAGGAGGAGGAGAAGGAGGTTTCGCGGAATAGGCGTAACGTACGCAAGTATCCTGCGGACGACCGACAACGACCGAGGGTGGGTCGAGCGATTAGCGCGCGGGAGGGGTACCGTTGCAGGAAACGGCGTGCCGATAAAACCACGAGGGTTCCTTGACTTTATTTCATTTTTTTCTTCTTCTTCCGTGGAATGACTGCATCTTGTGCATTTTTGGTTGGAGCTATAAATGTATATATACGGGGGTGTAGAGCAGCGAGGATTCGGTTGTTGGAGGGGGATATGTAAAATATCGAGCACGTGTATGGGCGTCAAACAATGGATTTATTAACAAATGAAAAAAAGAGAAAGAGAGAGAGAGAGAGAGAGATACAAAAGAACGCAGTAAAATGTACAGACTCGCAACAACAATACAACATATATATGTGAATATAATGTACGTGGGGTTTGTGAAAATTCGATAAAGTGGTCAGTGGTTGGCGAGCGAGTAGCTCTCGATGGCCTCGAGGGCCTCGGTCGCGTAGTCCAACCACCCGGGACCGGAATGATCGCTCCTGCTCTGGTTCATGCTCATCTCCATTGGCGGTCCCGGAAAGTTGATCTTGTGCCTGGCTATGCTCTTCAGCACCAGGGCACCGATGTAGATGATGAAGTAGATGCTAAAGTACAGCGGCACGTACCAAAGCTTCTTACCGATGTAGTAGTACGAGTAGGTGGGCCGCTTGTTCAGCCGCTGGTCCATCGGCTCGGGCTCCATCGTCGTAGTCCTAGGCTTCGGGTGGAGGTAATGGTAGTAGACCGGCTGGTGGTGGTGGTGGTGGTGGTCGTCCGGCTCGTGGTCGTAGATGATATCTTCCTCGTCCTGCTGGTGGTGGCCGTAAGGCGGATACTCGAGGGACTTGGGGGGATGCTCCGGCAGCTCGTAAACGATCGGCTTGCTCGGCTTAGGCCCGTACGACTCTGCGAACTATGGATTCACCGCTCTTATGTTTTACCTTGTAGTCGTATTTTTCTCTCCGAGAGAGGATCCATCTTACCGGTGCGGCGTACGAGGGAAACGAGTAGTCCTTGATCACCGGGGGCTTCGAGACGACGGTGGCCACCGGTGCCAGTGGTGCTGGATAGTCATCGTAACTCATGGTAACTATCGGCTTCGTGTAGATGACGTCCTTGGACGAGGAGACTGGATTCAAGGGGTCGATCTGATGCTGGGGTTGCTGACGCATGTGCGAGAGGACGTGCTCGAAACTCGCTGGTGGATGAAAGCGCTCTTGGGGCTTTTTGCGACCGGTCGAGGCTGCATCCAGCTGCGAGACTAGCTGCTCGTCCAGGGTGGAGTACCTGGGATAGGAGATTGCATCGTTACCATTTGAATACCGATTTACCGGTTTTAGAGAGCAGAGCAAAAGACTGACTTAGATGTACATAGAAGAAGAAATCTTACTTGGGCGTGAATGGATGGTTGACAACCTCGCCGGGGCTGAGTTCTACGGTAGTCCTCTGGTGGGCGGCCGCGAAAATCGGCGCTAGCGTGAAGGCCACGTCCTGCGAGCCCGATCTCGCTTGTCCGTACCTCGAGACCTTCGAGTAGGCAGACACACGTGGAGCTGACGGGAGTACGAGACACTTGATAAATACGAGCACGAGGAGCGATTGCCGATTCTTCATGTTGAAGCGCCGATTTGCCGATCGTCCGAAGACTGATGATCACATGTTTGCGTGCTGTGGATTTTCGAGCGACGCGCGAGTTGCGGAGACCTTGTGCACGTGTGTGTGTATCGGCTGGGCCTTTATATAGGCTCGGTTAAACTGTTGTATATGTACCAAAGTTCGCACGGACTTGCTGATAATTAGCAGGGCAAATTGTAACGGAGCGCGCCGGGGTGTTATATATATGTATATATATGTATGCGTCCAGGGAAGGGAAGGTGCTCAAAAGAGTCGGTGTAATATGATCGGTATAAGATAGTACTGCTCAGAACTGGGCGTGAATGTTGTTTTCAAATTTTTCGTACAAAAACAAAAGTAAATCGCGTTAAGTATACTTAGAAAATTTTTTTTTTTTTCTTTCAAGTATTATATAAAGTACAGGGAGATTAATTTTATTCCAGAAAATAAAAAAACAATTAATGCATTATAATTTGGGAAAAGGACCAAAGTATGTTTAAAAAGGTGTTTAAATTAAAAATTTTTTAATCGAATACTTTACAATAATTTAATATCTCAAATATAATTGTAATCCACGAACGTTTGATGACAAGCTTGGAGGTGCATTTCGTGCTTCTGGAGAAATAGTTGCAAAGGATGTGATAGAGCTTGTTATGTGTAATTTTGAACAAAGTTGGTAGGAAAAAATCAATGTCGTTTTCCTCATTGCAATTTATTGGATAAGTTATTGCTCGACGATAATCGGGTGTTTCATCGTTCTTACGGAGTTGTTGAAAATAATTTTTATGTATTATAAATATTTAATTGCGCTTACAAAAAGAGTTACGATTAATGCGAATGTTTTGTCTACAGCATATTTTTGCAAATGCCACACATTCATCGTTCGACTTGCTAATTTAATTGATTAAAAAAACTATCTAACAAACATTACGAAGAGTCACAGTCTGAAACTTCATTTCTCAAGATGTTGGATGTGATATTTCATCCTTATTTTTGCACGAGTGGAGGAAACGAAGGGGTGGGGTGATTTTCGAACGTTTAAAATAAGCGAAGAAATTCGATTTGACTTCATTGTCGATCGGACTGAACGGTGTGCGTGAAGTAAACAAGTCGGGAGACAAAAAATTGCCTTTGTTTTCTTGTTTGTCAACTCAAGACTAAAATTTATCGTTATGGTAGCGCAACTGTGCTCGATAACTCAAAAAATCATAAAAATTTTAAGACCAAAAGCACTTTTCTCCAAGTATGAAATAAAATGGACCAACGTCGTTTTGATCACTTTGTTCCACTTGGTTGCTCTTTACGGGCTCTTGACGTTTCCCTACATTCAAAAGTACAAAACTGTACTTTTTGGTAAGGAATTTTCCTACAAATTTTTATTTTACTATTTTTTTTTTTTTTTTTACCTTTATATCGATATTTTTTTCAATTTTAGCGTTCATCTTGACGTTGATCGCGGGTTTTGGTGTCACCGGTGGTGTCCATCGATACTGGACCCACAAGGCTTACAAGGCCAAATTACCCCTGAAAATTATCCTCGTTTGCTGCTACACGTTGGCTGGTCAGGTACTTATTATATATTTGTGTTTTTATCACACGTTGTTCGATGGAGGTAATAATAAATAAATGACGTGTGTCACAGAATTCCATATACGATTGGGTAAGGGACCATCGAATCCACCATAAATTCAGTATGTATATATTACTCATTAAATTGTTGTTATTATATATATTATACTCATTAAATAAAACGTTCAATGATGTATTGTATAATTGCCACGCAAGCTGAAACTGATGCAGATCCTCACAATAGCAAGCGCGGCTTTTTTTTTTCACACGTTGGCTGGCTTTTCATCAAAAAGCATCCAGACGTTATTGAAAAAGGAATTCAGATGGACATGAGCGACATCGAGAACGATCCGATCGTCAATTTTGCCAACAAGTCAGTATATTATGATTGTCATTACTTTTGTGGTGTCTATTGATACTTTGAATCATCATTTTTGCAGGCACTTTACGAAATTGAAATTGTTATTTGCATTCGTGTCAGTAGCGGTTCCAGTGTACGTTTGGAATGAGTCTTGGTACTACTCTGCAATGGCCCAACTTGTGAGATTCATATACACCAGCAATGTTACCTGGTCTGTCAATAGTTTGGCACACATTTGGGGCACGAAACCTTACAATAAGTAAGTCCCATGGGACATTGTTTGAGTTTGAATTCAAGTTGTTGGTTTTTTTTCAATTCGTTTTTTTCTCCAGGAACATTGCACCCGTGGAAAATTCTTTCGTCACGTATATAACCAATGGCGAAGGCTGGCATAATTTTCATCACGTGTTTCCATTTGACTACAGGTGTCCAGAATTTGCAGGAAGACATGACCCAACGGCAAAAGTAATTGAAATATTTGCGAAAATCGGATGGGCGTACGATCTTAGAAAAACAAAAGACTCAATGATCACAAGTACTTTAATGAAACATGGAGATGAAACAATAAAAAGCCAATTATCTTGATGGTTTTTTGAAGTTACACTTCTATAGGCGCATTATGAGTGAGGGTAAATCAACGATCTCAGATTTTAAGATTTTGACCTTGAGAAAAAGTGTGACGGAAGTGGATTTTCCTTGATTATTCCCCTTCCCCTCGCCACCCATGACATACTTCCGGTTTCCTCTACACCACACGACATCACCACACCACACACTTTGAATTTTATAAATTTTATTTCTTTTAATTAATTCTAAAAGAAAAGAAAAAAAATAACAGTCTCCACAGAGATTTGAATCCCCAACCTTCTGCACGCTGGTCAATGAGCGTATAGTTCGTTGCTTATTTTTAATGTAAATTTTTATTTATTGTGTATTCATTCATTTGGTTTGATTATACATTAAATGAATAGATGATTTATTTAATCTTACTTATTTTTTAGGTACATGTTTTGAAAATTTCGAAAAAAAAATATATTAGCAGATCAGCTATTGTATTTATGTAATAATAAATATTTATTTATTTATCATTTATTCATTAGATTTATCTAACAGTTAGATTTTAAACAAAANTTTTTTGTACTGTACAAATACAATAATTAATTTTTATGGTGTTTTATTCTTTTACAATTTTTCCATTTGTGACTAAAGTGGTTTTTTAACGTTCTTCACTCAGTTACCGGGGGAAAAGTTCAGAGGAGTGAGAGGAACGCTATGTGTGCAGTAAAGCTAGCAATTGGTTTTTTCATGTGAATGTACTCAGATACATGCATGCTCAATTTGTGGGTCTATTTGAAAATTCTATAGGTTTATCTAAAAGTAATCTTTTGGACCGAAAAAATTGGAAGATTCCTACAAATCATATAAATGCCAATCAACGTGATTTTTTATAAGGTTACATGTTAAATATCGATTTTTTTAAATGTAACATTTATAAAATAATGGCACAGTCATATGGACTGGAATTTTTGTGGGTATTTTTTATGCTATTTCAATATACGTTTGCCATTTGAATATCTGGCAAAAACCTATATGTGTGATGAACGTCCTAAGGGGACATTCACTGGTATGTAATACTACCCTTGCCTACTACAGGATGGTTTTTCTTAATTTTCTGTGTACAATTATATTTTGGGTATTAAATATAGACGAGGAATAAGTGTGGGATCGTATGTTATAGATGTGAGCGTGACTTTACAGACGTAATCAGTGTAGGCAGTAGTACTGCAGTAGGAAGTTGTTCTGAAATCATTGGAAGATTTGAAAAAAGTGCAGTCTTGTACTGGCCAGCCTATATATTATTTTTATTGTATTATTCCGGATTATATTGTTCGTAATCGTTAACTCATTAAATATTAAAATATTTATTGAAACCAGACCCAACTAACGTGGGTATACTCTTTCCAACGATATTTGCACCATTTACGTACACAATATCGTTTCATTGAAGGTAAATTTATACTTATAATTATATTATATTTCATATAATTTTGTAGAAGTATAACTTCTTATTTGGGTACCCAAGCACCCACTGTCCACTAGTTTTCTCAATTGACTGTACTGTATAGTTATATATATATACTGTACATTTATAGTTAATATTTATATGGATAAGAATTTTTAAAGTATGTAGAAGTATGTGAGCAATGTAGAGAACAAAAAAATTGAATAACTGCTTAGTAAAAATTAATACACCTTCATTTAAAGACTTTATTCCATTTCAAACTAAAAATTTAATTTCATATATACAGTGCTCTAATGAGAGATTTGAACAATGAAATAGAGTAGTAGTAATCATAAGCTATCTTACAAGTAACAAATTTATGTACAAGAGTGTAGCTAGAATTATTATGTTGTCAATATACTTATATTATGACACTTGTAGAGGTTATGTCAATTACAACTTTTATTACTGATATTCAAATTCTGAGGATTCTACTTACTTATTAGGTATACTATTTTTAATACACGGTGTCTACCTTGAATGAGTTGAAAAAGTAATCGATGAATGTGAGAATTCCAATAGCAGTACCTGTACACTCTTTATGAAATGGCTCTCATGCATACTTGAAGTGGTGGAATCATAAAAAGTTAGCCATAGGATCACCATCCCTCATCCTCTTCATCTGATAAGCTTCTTTCTCCTCCACAGTTGGCTCTTTAACGGTGTACATACTGTTGTAGGGCCTCTGCCTTTCGTCCATTTTCAACAGCTTCTCAGCCTCCTTCTGACTCTCCACTTCCTTCTTCAGGGCTTCCTTCAGCTTGTCCTTTTCCTTCTTGTCCTTCTTTCGCTTTTTTTTCTTCTTTTTCTCTTTGCGCCGCTTTTCCTTCTTTTCCTTCTTTTCTTTCTTTTCCTTCTTGGACTTTTTATGCTTTTTCGTCTCCTCTTCGGAACTGTCACTCGATGTATCACTATCACGACTCATTTTGTTGGAGCATCAACTTTTTTATTTTTGAATAAATGTAACTGTAATGAGCTTCAATTTTTTAGTAAATTAATGACATCTTCATGCAAACAATTCCGCCAGATTTAGTATTTGGAGTTGATACTGATTGATACACACTTCCGAAGTTTTAACGGAGTCACGCTGTCATTAAAGCATACAAATACTTATATTATACCTATAACACGCCTAACCTCTCTAGCGCTGTGTCGTCTGCAATAGGTTTATTCAAGCTGATTCTCGGGGACACTCGGAGAGACTCTGGGAGTCTCCGAGAATGGAATGAACAAGTATATCTGCATTCTGCATGCATCTCATCTCTGTCGCAAACACGCAAATCGCATTTGTATCGTTACATCGTTAGACTAATTGTAGAATGCGTGTGTATAATATAAGTACAAAAGAGAAAGCAGACATTGTACGTGTCTCTCTCGCACTCACATTATTTATATCAGTTTTTCCGCATGCTGCACATGTTTGCGGGCTGGCAGAACCAGCGCGTGCGTTTTGCATTTATTGTTATAAATAGCAAATTGCATCGTGAATAGTGTATCGGCGACATCTAGTGTTTCGTATTTCGCGGGCTGACGCAAACTATTTTCTAGGGGAACTGTCTTGAAAAAACCCTAGATTCTAGGGATTTACGGAAGCAGTAAATCACTAGATACTATGAACCGCTGTATAACTATACATTATTATTATAGATTTATTAGCATTAACTTTGAGTTACATAGCCATTTACATACAAGAATATTTAAAAATACATATTTGATTACATATTTTAAATACACTCTTACAATGAATATGAACATTAGATTTCTTTTTAGTGTATCAGCGCCATCTAGCGTTGCGGATTTTGCGGACCGACGCAAAGTATTTTCTAGGGGAACCGTCTTGAAAAAGTCCCTAGATTCTAGGGATTTCTAGAAGAAGTAAATCCCTAGATATATATAGATATACTATAGTGAGTCGAAAATCGCACACGTCAAAGGTCTATCTGCGTGCTTCGAAATACGCAATTCGGCTCGGAGATAGATGGTCACATGCATATAAAAATACTTAAATTTGTCAAAAATGTAACAATTGTCACCCATGCTTGTATAATATATATCAAAGCACGCAAATATATAGACCCCCAAAGTTTATCGGTGGACGCGTGATCGAAATTGCATTTGGGTGTAGCGCCATCTAGCGTTGCAAGTCCTGCTGTGCCGACAGTTGACACAAGATAAAAGGGAGACCTGCAGTTCGACCAAGTCAGCCAACCGTCGGTACATCAACATAATACCGTCCCTGCTGTATCGACAGTTGACCGACGCACTGTGCCGACGCTTTACCGACGACGGGGTCTATTTGCGTGCTTTCGATACACGCAATATAACCAAAGCGAGGCATGCATGGGTGACAATTGTTACATTTTGACTAATTTAAGTATTTTTAGTATGCATGTGACCATCTATCTCGAGCCGAATTGCGTATTTCGAAGCACGCAAATAGACCCTTGACGTATGCGATTTTCGACCTACTGTAGTATATCTATATATATCTAGGGATCTACTTCTTCTAGAAATCCCTAGAACCTAGGGACTTTTTCAAGACGGTTCCCCTAGAAAATACTTTGCGTCGGTCCGCAAAATCCGCAACGCTAGATGGCGCTGATACACTGTACTTGAAGCAATCAAGCAATTCACATCTCATATCCGCGATTACCAGAATCTCTGGCGTATACCTACTTACCAGGTAACCAGGTTGTGGTAATAAGTTTTCCGTGCAAGAGCGGTAACCTCAATTGATGGCATTGATGATGCACATGGAATAATTTGACCGACAGACAGGCATCGTTGACAATAAAAATACAATTGTAATCGCCAATTTGGTTCTTGTAGTTGCAATCCCGCAGTGACAGGTGAACATTATGTTTAAAGACAAGAAAAAAAGGTATTTTCACAAGAAGCGAAAATCGCAGGAGCTACGAGATAAAGAGGGTGAGACAAAAAGCAGAAAATTATATCTTGAGGAAGAAAATTCCAAGGAAGATAGGTTGATTAAGAACTTGGAAAAGAAGTTGAGACTCAACAAAAAGAGCAGCAAGAGCGTACCAAAGTCTTTCATGTGTGATGGCTTGGACTGTAAGTGTTGCATTTGCTTTTTGATTTGATGTGTTTGTACTTGATTGTTGCATGATAAATCTTTGAAATATTTGTTTAGATATCTTGGAAGTTTGCAATGAGGATACAAGAAAAATGGCTGCTGAAAGTGAAAAGCAGCTGACATTGCAATCAAATGATGAATCAGATAGTTCTTATTTTGATGATGATGATAATGAAGAAAAACCTACAAATTCCAAGAGAAAAAAACTCGACGGAAAAAAAGTAAAACACACTAAACAAAAAAAAACCATACAACAGTCATTTGAAGAATCAAATTTGAGATCTGAAGATGATGGTGACTTTGATTCTAGTGATGGTGATTTAGTCAGTGATGTGGATATTGGTAATGAAAGTGATGAGAGTGAGTTGGTGAGGACTAAAAGTACTTCTAAAGCCAATAAGAAAAACGAAAACAAAGTGACTGTGCTGAAAAACTCTAAAATACAGAATAATAATCTTAAAAAAGATTCCAAGTGTTTGAAAAATAAGAAGTCTGCTGTGCCAGTTAAAAAGCAGAAAGTTTGTGTCTTAGATGATGATGATGATTTCAAAGATGTGTCTGACCATTTCAGTGACGAGAGGGATAGTAAAGATGAAGAAGACAATAATGATGATGGCATATGGGAAGATATTTATGGTAGAAAGAGAAACAAGGATGGCAGTGTAGTGGCTGAGACAAAGAAATATGTTGCACCTGCGATAAGACAAAGGAATGATAATTCTGAAATGAATGAAAAGCTAGTTCAACTAAAAAGGCAGATGAAAGGTTTGTTAAATAGGCTGGCAGAGAGTAATATCCACTCAATTGTTTCCCAGGTAAATTTAAATGGAATAAAAATACATTCAAATAATGTCAGTACACATCCCTTTGACAAATATATTTTTTTCAGTTGGATGAATTGTACATGTCCAATAGTAGAAACGACATGAATGAAATGATCACAAATCTGATGTTGGAGTCGATTGTTGCACCTGTATTTACACCAGAAAGGCTCATAACAGAGCAGATGATGTGTGTAGCAATACTTCATGCAAATGTTGGTTCTGAAGTAGGGGCACACTTTATTATGACCCTGATCAAAAAATTTACCCAAATGGTAGAACAGTTTTATGAAGTCGAAAATAAGGAACTTGATAATTTGGTTTTAATGATTTGCCATTTGTATAATTTTAATGTATTTGGATCTCAACTTATCTACCAAATATTAAACAAATTAACAGAAAAGTTTACAGAAAAAGAGATAGAGATAATTTTGATAATATTAAAAACTGCTGGATTTAGATTGAGAAAGGATGATCCTATTGCTTTGAAGGAGTTGGTTTTAAGCTTACAACAAAAAGCAACAACTACAGAGTCTACAAAGTAAATCATAGTTATTTTTCATTGTTCTCACTTTTTCATTCGAAAAAATTCAGTCTTTAATGTATTTTGTCTGTGCAGCACAAGAGTAAAATTTATGTTAGACGTTTTATTGGCCATAAAAAACAACAATATGAGTAAAATTCCACAGTATGATCAAAGTCACGTTGAGCACCTGAGAAAAATTCTGAAGACATTAATAAGAAAGGGAAATTCTATTTCACAACTGAATCTTTCCATAAATGATTTACTAAATGGTATGAAAACTATTTAATCGAGTCGTCGATTATTTTTGAAACAAATTACAAAATTTTTGTTTCCTCAGCTGATGAAAACGGCAAATGGTGGATAGTTGGTTCTGCATGGTCGGGCAAGGCTCCAGAGAACGACAAACAAGGCAAAAACAATGACGACAAACCAGTTTACAGTAAAAAAATTCTCGAGCTTGCAAAAGCTCAAAGAATGAACACCGACAGTAGAAGGAACATTTTCTGTGTTATAATGACAGCTGAGGATTATTTGGATGCTTTTGAAAAGTTACATCACTTAGGTTTAAAAGGAAGCCAGGAAAGAGAAATAATTCACGTGATTTTAAACTGCTGTTTGCAAGAAAAAAAATTCAATCCATACTATTCAGTTCTGTTGCAAAAATTTTGTGAACATGATAGAAAGTACCAAGTACGTGAAAATAATTTTTACAAATCTACATGTATGTTTACTTAATATAACTTTCTTTTAAGATGATGATTCAGTACACCTTGTGGGACAAATTTAAAATGTTGAATAACTATAGCAGCAATCAACTTTCGAACATGGCGAAAATGATTTCACATCTATTCATCAAAAAAGCGTTGTCTCTTTCAATTCTCAAGGTGGATACCATAAAGAAGCTCATGATTCTCAAAAATAAATTTTTTTACCATATCGTATTTTGTAGGTCATTGAATTAGGAGAGTTGAATGCATCGACAATGAAGCTCTTCAAGAAGACCATGCTCAACATTCTTCTGCACGAAGACACCGAGATTTGTCTTCAAGTGTTTGAAAGGATAGCACCGTCCGACAAACTGCATCAATTCAGAGAGGGCCTGAGACTGTTTATTAATTACTTCCTCGTTAAAAATATCAAAAAAGACAAAATGTCAGCTAGACAAATGGAGCTTCTCGAAACGAGGATTAAGTACGTGGACAAAATATTGATGCACACAACTTCAAAGATCGCATTTTAATCATGTTAATTATTTGGTGAATTTTAAGCTTGTGTTGTTGCATTGCATAAATTAGTTTTTCTACAAAGCAACATCTAGAGACCTCATTTGTTTGAAAGTCGGTTATCTTCCACAGTTAAAGCTCTGATTTTAAATGTTCCCTCCTCAGCTCCTCTCCTGCCAAGTCAAGTCGTGTGTGTAGCGTCAGACGACGGTCACGAGAGTCACACTTTTGCTTTTGACTCAGGCACACACACGCGCCTCCCCCAATATCAACCCCCACACGCTCGCATTTCGCTCTCACTCTCTTCTTCCAATGTAAGTACATTTAACACTCTCTCGTTTCCATCAGTCCTATATGCAACGCACAACAAATAACCCACCACCACCACCGCCGCCAAAGGAAGACGGAGACAGTGTATAGCGCAGAAAGCGCAATGACCTCCTCTCTCCCTCCCAGGGGTTCCTCTTTCTCTCTTAGTCACGTAGGCAAGCATACAAAACCATGCACAGTGCACAGCAGCAGAGCGCTGCCGCACACGCACGTCATCCCAGAGAGACCCAGAGTCAAGCACCACTATTCCAGCTGAAGCCGAGAGCATTTAGCTGCTGCGTCGTTGTCGTTCTCGTACATATTTTTTTGTTTGTTTTTGTTTAACCTTTTTCATTGCCTTGTTGGTCCATACGTTGCTCTTTTTTCAATTTTTATTTGCGTCGATTCAACGAGAGGTCGGACAAAGGGATATATACTTATTGTACACGAGAGGAAGACCTGCAGGAAAATAAGAGCAGACGGATCGGAGCAAGGAGGGGACGAGCGTACTTAGTGTGTAGTGTTCGGTTGTGAAGATGTTGTAGTCCTGCGACTTTGCGAGGAGGGGGTTGGTTTTGTGTGCAGTGTTTTTTTTTTTTGCGCGAGGAGGAGGAACTAAAAGCGCGCAATCCTCGCTTCTGTCCTGTCGACTGCATCGCTTTTTTGGTGCAGAGGTAAGTGGTGTACTTTTAGTTTTTTTCTTTTGTTTTCGTCAATTAGGGATATCTTTTTTTTTCTTTTTTTTTTTTTTTTTTTTTTTTTTACGGAGCAAAGCTTCAAAGTTATTTTTGCTTCAAAGGAGAGGAAGTGCCTGTGCGTGTTTACCTACGTTCTGTTGTTCCGCTGCGCATAAATGGCCGATTGCGCGCGGAGAAAAGGATGGAAATGGAAATACATATGTGCGCACGTCAGACCCGATTATACGTTTTGTTGTCTGTGGGGTTTTCGTACACCGAGGCAACTAGAGCATACTTACTTTTTCCAAATGTCTCGGGAGCAAAGAAAGGACGCGTAAAAAAGTTGCAAATACATCCGTTGAGAGGTTAGAAATCGTTTTTCAATTTTGGAGTCGATTGCGCAAAAGCGCGCGGATATGCTATCATTACTATCCTCCGGAAACCGCGTAAGCGCGCAATTTTAAACACCATGGAACGACCTTCACTTAGCGCAAAATGTATGTGTATACGTGTGTGTACATAAGTTTTGTTTTCGCCCCCCCCCCCTTACTCTTTGGCTTTTAAATGACGATTGTAATCTTTCGGGGAATCCAAATCGCATCGGAGTATTAAAAGGATCAACGAAAACAATTTGACGTAACGTTTATACACCACACAATCGGTGCACGCCTTTTCTTTTTATCTCATTGTATTAATAATTATATAGTTATTCGTTGCAAGCTCCTTCGTTGACCACACAGCCGATGGTTATATATTGATATACTTTGATCATTCGAAAGTCACCCCTTTACCATCGTATCGAATTTTGTACACAAGACTTATTTCAAGGTACTACAGCCCTTATCAAACATACGCACGCAAGTTAAGAGCGAGGAGTGAGCTAGCTGGCTTCTTAAGATATATTCGCGCTATCGGAAGAACAAAGCATTTGTGTAATGCCTGATAACTGAAGAAATGAAGTGTAACAACTACAGAAGCAGCAGCAGCAACAACAACGGAACGGAAGAGGGGCAAAGAAAGCAAAGAAAGAAAAAAGAAAAAAAAATCAAGTCGCGCGCGCGCCGAAAAACACCGCTGCATGATCGCGCTGCATCGGAAAGGAAAAGGAGCAAAAGAAAGGGAATAAGTATACAAGGAGAAAAGGAAGGACGGCGTTGAGAGAGAGCCGTCGGGATGGTTTCATTGCCCTTTCGAGGCTGCTGCCCCTCGATCCCCCTCTCTCTCTCTCTCTCTCTCTCTCCACCCCCCTTGTCACTGTGTGTGTCTCTCTCTCCTCTCTCTCTTTACACACGCACACATTATTTCTCCCCTAGCTATTATATATACGTGTATGCGGTGTGTATGCATGTATATCCAATATAACCATCAACAACACATCTACACATCGGGTTATAGTGGTGGTAGTTGTAAGAGTATGGAGAGAGAATGAGGGAGACGCCGAGGAGAGGCGCGAGAGAGGCTCTCGGAGAGAGATATTACGACTGTGCGAGCGAGCGAGCGAGCGAATATATATATATATACACACACAACCGGGGGGCTCCGTTCTCTCTCCGCGTATAATGTATATATACGCACACACAACATCACCACGCCGTTTGCCTTGCCAGTCCGCCTCTGCCTGCGCTGACTGTTGCTGCTGCTGCAGCGCGTCTTTCAACTTGTGTACTCGTCGATACAGATCTTAATATAACAAATTCGTCCTCGAACTGTTGCTTCTGATCGGCTTTTTCTTTTGTTAACGCGTGGTATTTATTTTTGCTCCTGCAGTTTGACTTTTATTTATTTTTTTTCTTCATCGATACCTGGACAGGCTTGCCCTTTTTACCCCGTAAGGGTAGGAGGAGGAGGAGGAGGAGGCGAAAGAGCGACGTAGCGCAGGAGAGGAGACACTGCACCAACAACAGCTTACAGGTACACCCTCTTGGGGGATCTTTTATTTCGGCTGTTTGTTGGCACCTATACGTGCTTTTTTGGCCAATTGCGAGGGATTTTCCCTGAAAAGCCGCGAAACGCCGATAAGCCGTTTGTTTTGTTTACGCTTTCCGCGCGCGGCTGACGCTCTCTCCCTCTTGAAGCTTTGGCGGCAGCTTTCCGTGTTTGTATACGCGCGGGTTTCCCTCGCTCGGCAACCTTGGCGATTTTCTATCGTTTTTCCTTCCCCCGTATCCATTGTAAACCGAAATTTTGAAAACGACGCCACACGACATTTTCCTCGTTTGTTGTTTGTCGCACGGCTCACTTGTCTCCCATATAATTTATCAACTTTCCGACGAAATATAAAATACGGGGAGTAAAACAAAAAAAAAAAAAAAAAAAATAAATAACAATTCGCATCTCTCATATGTATACATCCCTTGCGGCTGTGCGTGTGTATACACATACGAAACGAATCTCTTTCTCCATCCCTTCGTTCATCCTTTGCGCGGAGTCGCGGCCATTCACCTGCAGCTCCTATATATCTCCCTCATCCTCCGCGCCTCACCGACGGCACACACACGCGCTCTCTTTCCCTCCCCCTTTGGCAAACAAAACAAAAAATAACAAGGGAAACAAAATCTCCCAAAACTAATCATCCCCCGAAACAATAATTATATACACCTCACAATCCTCACCGATCCTGCACGTATATATATATATAAAGAGAGAGAGAGCAGCTAGCTAGCAGCGTTATCCTGCATGTAAACAAAGTGCGTCTCGGGATAATATCTGTCTCACACAGACAGACAGACAGCTGCACCACCACCACCGGAGCGAGAGAGACGGAGTGAGTCGCGCAGGCAGACACATGACACAGACTCGTCCCCTTCGGTAAAAGCATATATACACACACACACACACGAGGGGCGAAGGGGGGTGAGCCGCGCCGGGGCCTCTCCCCCCCTTGTTCGTTCGTTCGCTCCGCTCCGTCGGAGGTAAACGTCCTCTAGAGCACGCCTCGTATATCTGTATACACACACCGCTCTCTCTGCTGACGTCTATAGGTATATACGCGTATGCGTACATGTACACCCAATCCAACAACGCTCCCGCGCGCTCGCTGCGTCTATGCGTGTGTCATATAGGGAAGGGTGGTGGTGATGGTTTGTGCGATATACACACACTCGGACTTTTATCGCAAGCTCCGACCGTTCGTCCCGCGCTCGCGTTACTTACCCTCCTTCCCCCCCCCCTCTTTTATAGCCCCGTGTGTCATATCCTTGCATCCGCGCTTGTATACCTATATGTATATTTATGTACAACAAGGGTTGCTCCGAAAAATCACGGACGCGTCGGGAGTGTGGGCGAGTGTTTTTCCACCCCTAACCCTGTACTCGAAAGCGCAAATTGCACCGAAAATGAAAATCAAAAGCATCGATATACTTTCCGCGCTTCTCCCTTCCCCCCCCCCTCACACGCGGTTTTGTTTTGGTTGTTGCGCCAAAGAGTGAGGGGGTGGGAGTAGAGCGCGCGATTCCTCATAAACAAACTTGACCCTGTACAGCGGCAAGTACAAGTACACACAACGGCAGGGCGATGTCGAGTGTAACACAAGTATACATGCATGTACCGCCGACGACGCAACCATCATCGGGCAAGGCAATGGGCGAAGCGGTTCGTTGTTGCGCTGGTCAAGGGACACGCGAGAGAGAAGGCACGCACACATGTAATAATATTATACATCGCGCCCGTTTGCGCATATATACGTAAGGTGTGTAGGTATATATAACCCAACCCCTCCCTAAATAAAGTACCGGCGACTGCGCGGTGCGGTGTATACGAGCAACAACAACAACAACAACAACAACAACTCTGCGTCACGGGATACGTGTGTACTACGTGTACGCGGCGTGCTGGGTGGATATTGCATGTACTTGTATTCGTTTGTGTGGGCTGTCGGCGATGAAAGTTCCCTATGGTTGCGGGCGATTGGGTGGGGCGGGGGTAAAGGGGAACTGTTGTGGGTTGTTTGGTGCTCTGTGTGTGCTGCAGGGACGACGACGACGTCCTGCCGTGACGGGCTCCCTGACGCGGCCCTCCGCCGTTCCGTGCTCCGTCATTTTTTTGCGTTTGTGTACAGTTTGCTCCGATGGCCCATGATTGTGTACATAATATGCGGGTGTATATATATTAATATACTGTTGAGGTATACGTGAATTTTCATTGCTCTCTCGAAATTTAAAAACGTAATTTTACTTCGCACTATTCGTACGTTTGATGATATATTGTCTTTCGAGGTTTTTTTTGCGTTGTTTCATTTTTGGTAAGCCCATCGGTTGAAACTCACCTTTCGACAGTTTATGTCGGACGGTCTGTTTCTACTACCACGGTGTGTGCGCGTACAACGAGGATTCCCTCGAAACGGCTTGTTCTACTTAACAACAATAACCCAACCAACATCCCTGTGTAGCGTTTAGTGTTTTTGTGTCGTTTCGCAAAAATATATTCGCCAATTTGAACATTCGAGTACGACAATCAATTGCTTGTATTCGTGTGATGCTGCTTCAATATTTTATTTCAAAGCTCTGTACGAGCAAAAAGGTGTTCGCAGCAAAAATATCCCTCCGAATTAGACATTAAAAATTGGTCAGACGGTCTGTTACTACTGATTACACCTCGTCTGTGTGCACCTGTGCTCATTCTACTGTTTGAAATATATAGGTACATGTTAACAGCCAAAATCGTTCTTAGAAGCGTTCATTACTCAAATATATTCGATTCGCGCTTTCTTGTCCCCCTTTTACATCACAAACATACATTAAGTATACTCTATGGAGCACGCGCTACCAGTGGTAGCCTACACCACGTGATCTTCGAACGTCACATGTGGATGAACAAAGCGAAATAAGAAAACAATTATCATTCGCATGCAGTACAACGTACACGCACGTAATATATTGTATAGGTTACAGCAAGCAAGTAAGTGCAGTGCACACTTTTCCTTGTATTTTCTTTTAGTCTCTTTCTCTCTCGACGATATTTTTTGTCTCCCCTCTCGTGCGCGAAATCACACATTCTTCGAAGCTCCTCTATATAAGGCATCCACATGTACTCACTTCGTTACATTTGTTAGTTTGGGCATATGTCGGCGATAAGTCACAGAAGGAGGAGATACCGCACAACCCAACAATAATACAATAAAACTTCGCTGGACTGCGGGAGAAAGGGGGGGACGAAACTCATACACTCTCAATCTCTCTTGTCATTGTCTTAATCGTGCGCTTGCGCTCGCGAGAGAGGGTAATCGGTACAACATTTGGGATACATGTTGTGTATCTCTCACAGGCTGTTTTTTACCAGTCCTGCATGAGGGATAACATATACAATACATCTATGCACTGCCTTGGCAGTTAGCAGTGTACTTATATAGAGAATATTTCGCGAAAGACGTGCTTGTGTGCAAATATATACTTGTGCTTTACTTGAGTTCTTCATCGAGTGAGTTTTAATCCATCGGAAGATGGAATAGATAATCAGGTTTGGTGATTTTCAAATTTAAGAAGACGATATGTTTGTTACCGTCATCGATTCTGGAGCTTGGAGTCGAGATCATTGCTATTGTCGTTTGGTCATGCTTGTGCAGTACAACTGTATAACTAATTGAAAGGTTTATATGCACATAAATGCAACATCTGCAGTACATTATTTTGTTGTAGGGTTTTTCTTTTTTACATAAGTGATATCTAAACAAGTAATTTTGCATGGAGATTTCGTTCTTTCAACATTTTAATATTTTTGGTTGGTCTAGTTCAGGTTTGAAAGAAGTATGGGTGAAGAATAATAATCACACAAGAAAAAATAGAAACATATAGGTGACCTCCCCTTGCCAATTAAGCATGTGAATATGTGTATGTGTACGAATTTGAGTGCCTGAGCCTGATGAGTGTTACATTGGCTGTCTGGCTATAATAATTGATGGTTCACTGGGCGTGTAATAGCTGTTATACAGTTATCAAATTCTTTTATCAGGGCATTCGTTTGGCTCTGAACTTCATCGCCACAGCTTGCAACATTGCATTAAATTCAATCTACCATAAGTGATATCTTAAGTCGTTAACTCATTGTTTATTGAAGATTGAGAAAACTTGGATAGTTTAACAAGTTGAAACAATTGCTGCAATTCCACACGTCTGCATATACTGGTTTGAACAACTGGAATGGTTTTAAAATGGTCTATTATGCCATTACATGATAATTAGTGTTTTATTCATACCCCCTTGTTATTGCTAATGACTTGTATCATTATTATTACAATAAGTGAAAATAAAAACCTTTTTATCTGCTTCCAGGTGTGGTGTACAAAATGAAATGGTCCCCACAAACTCTGTTTTGCGAGCAGGTGGGCGAGTTGACGCGGGTCTTCTCCCAGTGGAACGAGTGCGAGCAAACAGTCGTGCTTTATGCCCTTTTGCGCCGAATCCCGGCCGTGCAGGCGCGTTTTCTCGCCCAGGCAGTCCAGCACTCACTGCACTCCGTCACTGAGCTTGACTCACAGGAAAGAAATGCCAACAATCCTGGTGAGTTTCTTTTTTTTTTTTTTAAATAACGTTGTTTCGTTTTATTTCCATTCAAACAAAAATTTAAATTTCACAGCTTACATCAATTCATTGCTGTCGGAGACGACGGAGGTCGCGATAAATCAGCTACTGACTCACCTCCCGCTCCTCAGACCGGGCAACGTCGAGTGCAAACAGTCGTACCTGATGGTCATACCCGAGCTGATTAATCACTGCGTGAGCACTGGCCAGTACACCGAACAAACGCAACAGTTGCTCAGCTACACCCTCATTCATCCTGCCATTACTAGTCAGGACAGACGTTCGTTATCTCAATGGCTAGGACAGCTCGAGGAGCGAATCTCGAACACGCCGATTCAGAGCAGCACCGAGGATTATTCCAACAATACGCCGCTGAGGTAAACAAACTTTTGTTCGGCACATCTCTCCAACAGAGCTATTGGATGATTATTTTTTACGGATAGAAAACAATATTTTGCCCATAGATGGGACACGACATGGCAAAAGAGTGTCAAGCAAAACGACCAGGTTGGACAGAATTATGGTGCACAAAACGGCAGTCCCTTCAGTTTCCAATTCCAACTACCAATAACGCGTCAGCGACGCTCCAACAGCCTCACGCCTCCCGTGGCTTCGTGTCTGCAGCCCGAGATTCTCGATCGTAGCGGTAGTGCGAATATCTCCACGAGACACAAGACGAGAAGTTTCAGCGTGTCCGGAGATCACTCTTGTGAGTTTTATACGCTATGAACTTTTAATTGTTTCGGTAACAATTCACTTTTATTGCAATTATTTTTCAATCTCGTAGCTGCTATTATTGGGATGGGCCCTCTAAGTCCTCCCAGCTCATGTGCGAGTAGTGGTAGCGAAGGTCGCTTGGACGAAGCTTCTGCTCGGCCACTTAGCTCAGGAATGCGAGGTAAACGCAATCTAGACTACCTTAGACCGATCATCTTCTATCTTGGACATTACAATATAAATCCTTTATTACTTTCAGACGTTCCAACGTGGCTAAAGACGCTGCGTCTCCACAAGTACAGCTACCTATTTGCAAACCTGTCGTACGAGGAGATGCTCGAACTGACAGAGGATCGCCTGGCCGAGCAGGGCGTGACTAAAGGTGCGCGTCACAAGCTCGCTTTGTCCATATCAAAGTTGCAGCAGCGCTACCAGACGCTTTGTGATCTGGAGAAGGACCTGGTGCAACCACAAGCCAACGCTACCGGTACAGGAAGCTGTCAGTCTGGACAATCGTCGTTTTCTCCAAAACCACTGCTGGTCAGCGCACTCGAGGAGCTTAAAGCCGTATTGGCGACTCCTCTGAAGCCCAGCCAGGAGAACTTTGCCCAGGACATACCCACGCAGTTTACCAAGGTCTTGGGTAAACGTAAGTCTCAAATTATGGTGGATTAGTTTATTTCAAGTTGGACATGATTAATATTGTTGGTTTCGGCTTCATTGTGTTTTTAGTGACCAACAGACTGGCTCTCGAGAGCAACATCGACGACGCCGTGCTGTGTTCGTGCATAAACATCTTCGAGAAGGTACTGCAGCACGACTGCTTTACTCCAGCACAGAAGGAGAAAGTACAGCAATGGCGCAGCCGTTTAGGCAATCCCCGACCTACTGCCAAGTAAGAACAACTCTTTAATGAAAAAACGAAAGTAGCTATAATTTTACGTGCCAAATATATTGTGGATTTTTTTGCAGATGGCAGCATAATCACGCGTACTTCAATCGCAAGTACATAAATACACAACAGCACAACCGAAAGCCAAGCTTAAATTTAGGCCACATTGGCAGTGTAAAATCTGCAAGCAATTTTATGGTCGCGCCACACCGAAACAGCATATCTACGCCGTATTTACAGTCAAGCTCAAGTCAGTCGTCTAATCAGAGTGGACTCCAGTCGATCTTAGTTCCCGAAAAACGTCCCAGTCTTCAGGAGACTAATCTTGAGGTAACTTTGTTTTACATTAGCAAAAATTATCACGAGGATGAATTTAAACATTTTAACGTCGAATTGCAGCTGATGCAGAGAACGTTACAGCGCACGTACAGCGCGCCAAGGGACAATTTCCTTGGTTACTCAAGCAGTGCAATCGAGACGACGGAGCCCGAGATCAACTCACGCTTGGAATCTCTCTGTTTACGTATGACCGAGCAGGCAATTGGTGGCTTCGGTGAGGCCTAAGCAAAAAGAAGAATCAACAAAAAACATAAAATTATTGCTTTATCAAGAATATGTCAGAATGACGAGCATTCTTATAAAAAATTTCTCGACTACTCACTCGCACGCTCTTGAGCGGCAACAGGTTAGCGCTATTTTTATAATTTTTTTTCGTTTTATGACGACAACGTTGATTAATATTATTGACAATTAAGAGAAAACGAGAGCGAAAGAGAGAGAGAGAGAGAGAGAGAGAGAGAGAAAGACAATGAATCCCCAGATAACTCGGTTATGCGTGTTCACACATTGTGAAGTATATAAATTTTTCTTTTTTTCCTTCGTCCGGTAACTCGTATAGTGAACCGACGACGTGTAATATATAACTGTGTGCGTCTATATCGTAATCTATAATTTTTAAGGGCGATTGAGAGAACAAATGAGCATACACGGAGGTCCAAATTTGACCAAATAAATCGATGACGTTTCTGCCCGACATTATAGGCGTAAGGTAGAATATGATAAAATACACTTTTCCTCAATCCAATAATTATCAATTAATGAAAAAACAATCTTCGTTTGATACACTTTTACTGCTTCGATTGCATCGCTCTTGTATTTTTCTCGGAACGCGCGTGACACAATGTGTGAAGATTTAAGCACACGATTAAGTAAACCAAATGTTTTTCATTGATCGATGTTATAGGCAGAGAGGAAAAAAATAGGAATCACATGCTCGTAAATTTTTTTTTTTTATTTAAGCCAAGTTTACCTAGACTATATTACACACTTAAGCTGAAACGCCCTTTAAGAGGAAGTTGACTCTTGCTTTTTTACGCTAAGGACTTAGTGCTTACGACTCTTTGAATAATGAAAAAAAAAAAAAAAAAAAAAATTAATTAAGTCGCCTAGGACTATCGGGTGATTGTTGTCTCTCACACACAAAAACACACAAACACTAGCACACAAATACAAAGACACAATTACACACGTACGCGCGTGGAAGGTTAATTATTAAAGGTAACCGGCTCGGGGTCGGCGCAATAGTAATTAAAAAAAAAACGAAGAATTTATTTCTATCTTGACGAAAGACTAAATCTTGGATCTCAACTGAGAATGTGTTCATCAGTCGTAAATATGAGGAGAGGGTGAGGGGTTGAGAATACGACAATAATCCCTCGAGTCCTAAGTGCTAACGCTATAATTTATATACACATATATTATAATATATGTATATCATATTATTCTTATTATTATTATAAAGTAATGGAACTGACAGAATTTGGCAAGCCAAATGCTAACAGATGAACAGACGAAGAAAAAAAAAATTATAAATAACTAGAAAGATAGATTCTTTCCTTTAATATTTACTTAATCAGTAATATTCATAAAAAGTATATATTATATACACGAATATATTCTATGTATACATGCAATTAATTATATATATATATACAT